CGCTCGGCACTGAGGAGAGGAGAGGGAGGGAGAATGAAATATAGCTAGGGTTAGGGTTAAGGGAGTGGAGCCGCGCAGAGTCAAGAGCACCATTGCCCAGACCGCTCGACGGCGGCACGCTCAGCCTCGGGCGAGCGAGCTCACCAGCGAGGGGACCGACGGCGGCGCTACTCTGCTGTGCCTCTCACTCTCTGCCGCGGCGCTGAGGAACAAAGAGAAAGCGAAGAAGGAAATGAGTTTAGGGTTTCAGTGGAGCGGCCCGGCGTGATATTTTGTTCGGGCGAGACGCGCGGACGACCGTCGGATCGGATCCAACGGCTGATGGAGCTCGGGCCGAATTGAGCCTAGGCACAGCTGAGCAGGCTGGGCTTTTGCTGCTGGGCCGAGCGTACAGTAAATAATTGAATCAGTTTTTTATTTTTATTTTTCCAGTAAATGTTTATTTCCTAGAAAATGATTAATGGCTCAAGAAAATTAGCAAAAAATTTTTTCCTGTTGGTAAAATTTACCAATTATGTTTAAGTTTCCGTTGCAAAGTTTAAAGTTTATTATCTTCTAATTAAATTCGAACCAACGGGAGAATTTAATTTGAAGAGCAGTTATATTTAGTAAATCATGATTATGCTTATCCTCTAATTAAATCTGAACCAACGGAAAAATTCAATTAGAGGAGTAGTTCGTTTTTATTTATGTAAGATTATGGTATTGTCATTTTCTGACCAACGTTGATGATGACAATATTTTAATGAATTTAAGTTTGAACTTTAAATCTCTGATAAATTTTACATCAACATGATCAATTTTTCAGAGAGTAGATAAGGACTAAGAAATGCTCCTGAACTAATAGAATGCATTTTATTATCAAGTTTCCGCTGTCATGACGTTGATTATCTTCCAATTAAATTCAAACCAATGGAAGAATTTAATTTTGAAGAGTAGTTATATGGATTTGAAGTTAATTTATGAGTTTTATGCATTAATTCTATTTTCTGCCCCAACGGTGATGTAGAATTGATGCAGAAGCATATTGTATGTTTTATTTTAACCCATGCGATCACTCGGCTGCATGTCAACGGGCTGTAATGCTGGGGTATGCGAATGGAAAGGCTTGAGTCAAGCCAGTTCAGGATAATTTTTTGTTAGTTTACTAATTTTCTGATTAAATTGGAACCAACGGGATGATTTAATTGAAAAATGAAGTATAAGTGAATATTTTAGTCGTAATGACTAAGTTTTCGTATAGATGCATTCTGCATGGGAAGAAGTTTTGACATAGTACTTATGCTAGTCAATCCTGCATGGCAGAAGAAGTTTAGTGATTATTCACATGTTTTGTATCCCGCATAACGAGAGAAGTTTGGGTAGCTCTTATGCTGTCTAGTATTGACCTTGACACAATAGAAATGCATCGTCATGGTCAATATTAACCAAAAGATAAGAAAAGATGCAAGTGTAACTTGCAAAAGCACTGCTAATGAAAGACCTCGTTGAGTTCTCGAAGTGAAATATGGAAAGTGTACTCCTATATGAATCGAGAAATAACTATGTTTGCATGACATAATCATGTGAATGAAGTAAGTTATATGTGTCTCCTCGTTCATAGGTTTTCTTAATGGTTCTCGAAATTATGGCAGTAAAGTTCATGCCATATTTCGAGGGGGGAATATTAAGATCAATTAAGAAAAATACTTTTCCTTAAGAGTGAGATAAAGATTAATTAAGAAAGATACTCTTTATTAAGAGTGAGATAAAGATTAATTAAGAAGGATACTCTTCATTAAGAGTGAGATAAAGATTAATTAAGATGTATGCGACCGTCGGAGTAGTACAGCCATCACGACAATGATACCCCTAAGCAGAGAAATAGCTAAATTCCTGGACCTTTTCAAGTTTCGACAGGAAGATAGCGTAGTTAGCCTCAAAGATGTTAAGGTGGTGCTTAAAACGTTATATGAGGTTTTAACAGATTAAAATCAAAATAAGATATTTGAAGATACACTATCTTTAGAAAAGATGGGAAGATCTGGGGGAGCACGGTATGTAGAGGTATATAGAGACCTAAGACTTGAAGAGAAGAGAGACTACGTGCCCACTCCAGTGACTCAGGAGCAACAAGTTTCTCAATACCTGTTGATGTTGTATGACTAATAAAACACATGTTGTTGGCTCTTCGAAGAAGATAAATAATGTAAACAAGGATCTTGTAATACAGGAGCCTGTAGAATCAATTGCCTCTTAGCAATGAAGAGCAACAACAGTCCCATATAAAAGTGCCAGTAGCTGAGGTCCCAGAAGGTCTCAAAGAATTAGTAAACCAGTTTTTCCAATGACTATGAAGTCTATGTTAGTAAAGAAATTCAAATAGAGGGTGATCCCACCTTATTTAAATGGCAAGAATCTATGAAAGTTGAAATAAATTCGATAAATACCAACGATTTTTGGAACTTAGAAGTATTCCTAATGGAGCCAAAACAGTAGGCTGTTAATGGGTCTACAAGACAAAATATGACTCCAAAGAAAATGTAGAAAGATATAAAGTACGACTTGTGGCAATATGCTTTACGCAAAGAGAATGAATAGATTACAATGAGAGTTTTCTCTCCAGTCTTATGTAATGATTCTTTTAGAATCATAATGGTGTTAATGGCATATTACGATTTAGAGTTACATCACATGAATGTAAAGACGGCATTCCTCAATGGGGATTCATATGAAAACGATAACATGGCACAACCCAAAAAGGTTTTGTCGTGGAAGAAAAAAACATATAGGATGCCGCCTGTAGAAATCCATTTATGGGTTAAAAGTAAGTCTCTAGACAGTAGTATTTGAAGTTGATAAAATGATAAGAAAGTTTGGGTTTTAAAGAAAATAAGAAAGACAATAGCGTTTATGTGAAGTTCAAGAATGGAAGATTCATTTTCCACATCCTATGAATAGATGACATTCTACTCACCAGTAGTGATGTTAATCTACCATTGGAGAAGAAGTTTTGTCATCAAGTTTCAATGTGAATGATCTTGGTGAAGCGTCATTGGTTCGAGAAATCGAAATTCATCGAGATAGAAGAAAATGTGGTATTAGGACTATCGCAAAGACATACTTAGAAAAAATTCTAAAGAAGTAAAGTATGCATGCGAGTAGATCTACACCTGGTCCTATAGTCAAGGGTAATAGATTTGGAAACTTTAAGTGTTCTAGGAACCGATATGAGATCGATCAAAAGAATATAGTTTCATATGCTTCAGCTGTTGGAAGCTTGATGTGTGTACAAGTATAAGTAAGAACTTACCCTGACGTAGTTTATGTATCCGAGGTATTTTGGCAGAAGTCCAGTTCAGATAATAGATCCCTGGAATTGAGTTGAGAATGTCTTGCAATTTTGCAAAGTATCATAGACCTCATACTGAGTAAGAAAGAATAATTACTCTCAAATATTTGAGGGTACAAATGTTAAGTCATGGCGAGATGTGTAGTGAAATCTACAGTACTTGTTAACACTCGCAGTTGGAGTATTATTGTGGAAAATCTCCAAATAAACAGTTATGGTGTCATCAGTGATGCATATCATAGTATAGCTTGACATGAGGCTTAAGCAATAGGCAAAAGAGGTTAAGGGAATTTGTACCCAGATTTAACAATGGTAGACAACAACAATAACCATTTAAAGTAAGTTAACTCCTAAGACAACAAGTCAAGTGTGCTGTTAAACATATTGACACTAAGTTATAGGTTGTAAAGGAGAAAATCCAGAATCATTTTAAAAGTATTGAGCACATAAGTACCGAGTAAGTACGTGCGGATCCGCTTACCAAAGGCTTACCACCCAGTACATTCAGAGAACACACAGTCGACATGGGTTTACAGGAAAGACTATGATTTTTGAATACTAAGGGCCTAGTTTAGTATCCGTTTTAAAACAGAGAGGTGTATTGTAGCTGTTAAATCTAATGACAACTGACCGTGATGATGAAGCATGCTCTATGCACTGAGCTGTGATGGAATGAGAAAAAGATAAAGAAAGTTGAGTTTAAGTATGAGGTGAGATCAAGAAGGGAGATTGTTAGTGTTGATCTGATGCGACTCGGCCCAACGGTCGAGTCGGGTCTTGATCCAGTGTCCTGATCGGGGGCATCCAACCAAACCAAGGTTGGTGGGCCCCCGTTGCGCAACACCATATAGAAGCAGGTGGGGGCCAGGGCACATGATACGAGGTTCACCTGAGCCGCTAGACGTCCCCACCTACTTCCTAAACCTAGACCTATCGAGATGGGTGCTGCCAGCGACGAGAAGCGCCACCACCGTCTCTGCGCCACGCCGGACGTCTAAGCCATGCCGGACTCCACTGCGTTCTCTACCTCGACGCCGCCGCCACCGGATCCACCGCCACCGGACGACACCACCGACTGGACCTCGATATGGACGGCTCATCCTTTCCCAAAGCCGACGGTCAGCCACTCTTACATCTCCCTCTCTCACTGTCTCCCTCTCTGTATCAAGTTATAGGTTGAATTGAACTAAACAAGTACCGGATTCACACTCCAATCTACACCTAGATGATCATAAGAATTTTAACAAAAAGACCTTGTACAATTCTGCTAAACAATAAAAGATCAACACTAGATTCAACTTCTTCACAACTGGTTCCACCCCACGCGGCCGCGCGGCAACGCCGCGCGTTGCTTTCTAGTGAGAAAGCGGACCACGAAAAGCTGAAACACGAAGGCCGAAATTGTAATGCAAATGGCCAGCATAAACACGGACGCCGGAAAACAAAAAAAGATCACGGTTCACGGACGCCACTACGGGTCCACGGCCCACAGGAAAATGCACGAGCAGCAGGTCTGTTAGTGCAGCTTTTGTTCTTACTGAAAGTGGAAGACACTGAAACAATCGCTCTCCCCTGACGTGAAGGAGGCTCGAAAAGAACGGTAAAGCAATTTAGCTTTTTTAATCTAAAAAAGGGCACCAATAAAATCTCCGTTGCTAGTTGCTACGGCCTAATCCGTTTTTGCACTCACACTCTGCTTCATTTTGCAGAGAGTTTTCACCATCCCCTTGCAGATCTTCCAGAACCAGACGAGGTTCATCAGCGAGAGCAACGGCGGCACCGTCAGTATGCTGTAGAACCCCAGCGGGAACACTGTCCTCACCTGGAAACGTAAAACACCATCACGGAACATGACTAAGTTAATAAGCCTGCTTCATTTTCGCGTCTACAACCGGATAAGCAATTTTAGCTTCATGGTTTACGTACCTGATCAAAATGCAGGTACATGTGAGCGAAGAAGTACACGAACAATATGATCCGAGCAACCTGCAATGCCACGCATGAGATCGATGAGCAATCACAGCACAAAAGGGAAGTTCAGAAGTGGAGCAGCCAGCACTAGCAGGCCATTACCAGCCATCCAACGAACAGTGCCAGTCCATTGTACAAGTAGAGCTTAGAACCCTTCCGGCCAGCAAGATCCAGATACCTGCAGGGGGGAGAAAAACATGGCACATCCAGTAGGAATTAATCCATGACGTTCTCCGATCCAACATATGAGAGCTAGCTAGCATCAGTAGCTGGAAATTTAGAGTGTCTGAATAGAATATTACCATCTGAGGTTCACGAAGGGAGTGGTTGCTTCAGTGAATAGGACCATGAGGATGTAGAAGTGGCCTTTGCCGCTCAACAGGGCAAGAGAGATTGCATACATGGAGAGTCCATGGTGCAAGAGCTGAACATTCAGAACCACCGGAACAAATTCTTGTCAGGTATGGTTTAAAACACAGGAGAAAAAACTTCTCTCTAATTAATTACTGTATGTATGGTGATATAATAAATAAAATTCCTTACATATTCCTTTCCGCCTAGGCGAGGGAAATACCACAGGATCATCGCCAAGTCTGTGAAGAAGTAGCCAAGAGAGACCTAGTATAGGGAGGACAAAACATACATCATTGGGTTGAACTGAACATCTAACACGCATTTCTGAACAAATATTTTGGGACACCCCCTGGTCTTGCATTTTTGTCTCCATACTGAAAATAACATTGGTGTATGTATTTTGGGTGCAGAGTAAACTTACCCCGAACATGCCATCAGATAGCCATGATTTTCTGTCTACTACGATGGCAGTACCACGAGCGTCCTCACTGAAAAGGTCAGATAGCACTAGCAGATACAAGGAGACTGCCGCAGCTGCCAATGCGTGGAACGTAGAGAATCCCCTGAAACATGGAAATAGACGCATGCATAATTATTAGTAACTAGCATGTACAATGGATATCTAGATAAATTAGTGTATTATAATGGTTATTGATGAGAATATGTATATATGTTTCTCATCAGAAATCGTAGTACGTGTGAAAAAGGTAGGTCTTCTAAGAATCTCTGACCTGTTATTCCACTCAATTTTATGCATCTCGTTTAGCCCATCATAACCCTTGAAGCACCGAGAGCTAACTTGGCGAGTCAAGTCGTATACCTGCGAGAATATACACAATAGGAGCTCTGGAGCTGTTAATTCAGTGGAACGGCTAGAAAACTATGGTTTAAGTTTAAAAAAAGCACACACTAAAACAAACTCCGGTCAATTTTGTGCTAACAGAGATGCATCATGAAGATTCCACGTTGAGATTAAATAAATTAGCAGGTAGATGCCTAGAAGGCAATGGAGATGACTTACAGCTGCGCTCATGGCGATCCCAGCGAGAACCGAAGCCGGCCATACGATCTGCTCCTGGGGCCCGAAGCTGATGAGGTCCATGCCTAATCTTTGCTCCCCTCCTCCCCCACCTCTTCGATCTTCGTCGATCGATCAAGCTAGCCAAAAATTATTCTTGCGAGCAATTGAGAGACCCAGCCGATGGACTCGTGGCGATGCTGGAAACTAAACGAGTTTCCTGTTTCCTCCGGGGCCGGGCGGATCGGAAGCAACAGCGTGTTCGGTCTCTGCGTTGCTTTGCTACGCGTCCCTGTTGCGGGCTGCGCGCGGGTCTTTATAGGGCCGGCCGCACCAGGCAGGGCACGCCACAGGCTGAACGAATCGATGATGGATCCGGTCCGAGAGCAACACCTCTTCTTTCTTCCGTCGCCAAAGCGGACTGGGACCCGAGGAGGGGCAAAAACCTGTTTTTTGATCGGAAGTCTTCAAAAGTCTTCGGTGTTTTTTGATTGAATCGGAAAGTCTTGTGTTTTAACCAGCCGTGCGGCATGTGTGTGGTGGGGAAAATAAAGGAACGTGTGCGATGAACTGGAGGAGATTGGACCTGCCGTACGACTTTGTTCATAACCGAATTTCTAGTGGTACGCCTAAGGGTGAGGTATTTGAGGCATCCAAGAAAAAAGTACGCCTAAGGTAAAACTGGCTCGAGTGGTTGACGTTACGGAGTCAAGTCAAGTCAAGTCAGTACGCCGTATCGCTAGCTCGATCCATCGACCATCATGCATCAGTCAAAGTCAGAAAACGTGGTGTTCGATCCGCCGGTGCGGCACGTTCCGAGTCCGAGCTAAAAGGCTAATCTGAATCCCATGAGAAGTGGCTCAACATCGAGCACGCCAAAAAGCAACTAGTTCAGCGTGCATCATATATGGACCGTTGACTTATTGTTGCAATCTCCTAGACTCTACTAGCGAACTACTAGTACTACTAGCAGAGTACAATCGTATTTGGACGAAGACAGCGCACCATGGTTTGCGACATCATTGCACGCGACCCTATTGGCTTTTCTTTTCTCGCACCGCAAAAATCCATTTATCTTGCAGTGCTCCTGCAACCTTCCCAAAAATACATTTATCTTTCCTAATTTGATGATATCAGCCTACCGCACGACCCCTCAGAGGAGGAAGTTTTGCTGCTTTGTTTGGACCGTTGGATGATCAAGATGGCTGCAAACGATCGAGTGTTTAAGGCCCTGTTTTTGTTCCATTAGCAGCTATAATAATAGTTAGTTAGATAAGAGTTCATAGCTAACATTAGTTGCTATTAGCTAGTTTAGTCCAACTAGTTAAATACTCCATCAGTTCCAAATTATAAGTCGCTTTAATGTTTTTGGTTTATTCGTTTTGCTATGTATCTAGACATATTATTTATCTAGATGCATAGCAATATGTATGTAACAAAAAAAAATCAAAACGACTTATAATTTAGAAGGTAGGGAGTATTGGTTAGTTGAATATCAACTAATAATTACCTAAACTAATAGCTAACCTGTTTGATCAAGGAGCTAACTATTAGCAGCTATCTACTGTCTTTATAGATCCAAACACGACCTAAGTAGTAGCAACAGCAACTACGGTACTTCTTCTCCGCTACGTTTTATTCACTAGCTCAACTAGTGTCTATGGTTGTCCGGTGGACTGCACGACACGACTCGAGCCGACGAGCGCTAGCGTGGCAGCAATCAACACCACCACAAGAGCAACCTGACCCAATAGATGGCCATGCAGCCTGCTGCCCAATAGCCTAGCCTGAAGCCTGCTATATATTTTGGCCTGGCTCGGTGAGCAGTGGGCACGTGCCTAGGATTTTCCCAGGCATACCTGGTGGCCCGCAATCTAGTCAAGTATACATATAGGGTGTGTTTGGTCACGTTCAATTGCAAGCCTGGCTAGCATTATGAGCCAGGCCAGATTTAGCCAGCTTTACATAAGTCAATAGTCACTTGTTTGGTTAGAGTGATTGCTTAAGCTTGGCTAAGTTTTAGTGTGTTAGGTTAGCTGGTTTTGCTAGAATAGAATCACCTCCTCTTTGAAGAGGTAAGTTACCCCTTTTAAAACATTCCATTGAACACGTGTTGTGCGTCATCCTCGGCAGCTCCGGCAGGTCGAACAGGGCCCGTCAGCGGCCACGGGCGGAGGCGGCGCACGAGGGCGTCTTCACGGAGGACGCGAGGGATACGCTATTGTTGTTGGAGTTGCCGTCGCCAGTGGCAGAGCAGGGCACGGAGACGCGCGCGGCTGGGCGGCCACATCCGCTGGTGCTCTAGCAGGCGGTGAGCTGGACCTCCTGGTGCTCTTCCGGCGCCGCTGCTCTTCTCGCCTGGCGCACCGCGCCCTGCAGCTCGTGCTCGGACTCATCGGACCTCCGCCTCGCCCGTGCACCGCGCCCTGCAGCTCGTGCTCGGACTCGTCAGACCTCCGCCTCGCCCGCGCGCCGCGCCCCGCAGCTCGTGCTTGGACTCGTCAGACCTCCGCCTCACCCGCGCGCCACGCCCCGCAGCTCGTGCTCAGACTCGTCAAACCTCCGCCTCGCCCGTGCGCCGCGCCCCGCAGCTCGTGCTCAGACTCGTCGGACCTCCGCTCGTGCCGCAACGGCTCGGACTCGTCGGACCTCCGCCTTGCCCTCCGACAGGCCCACCACTAGCTCGCCCTCCGCCTCGCCCTGCTGGACCTCAACATCGTGCTGTTCCCGGACTCGTCGGACCTCAACACCGTGCTGCTCCTGGACCCTGACCACACCTGCGCCATGCCGAGGTCGGAGCGCCGCCACAGCAGGCCCTTCCGACGAGGGTGGCTTGAGCTTGGAGACCGGCGAGGGTGGGGCCAAGCATGGAGTAGCGCCGGAGAGAGGGAAGATGATGCGGAATCGAGACGACGGGAGGGAATTTTTTTAACATTTTTTATAAACTAATTTTAAATCTAACACTGTTTTCCCCCAAAACTAACACTTTTGGTCGCGCCTATTGCCATGGCCGCATCCACGCGCCATGGTGGCGCGGCGGGAGGATAACGCAGCACTTCCACGCACCATGGCCGCTGACATGGCAGGAGGTGTCACGCTGCCATGCATGGCGCGGCACTACCGTGCCTCGGCCCACGGCACGTCCCTTCGTCAGATGTGTTCCACTTTGCCGTAATGATGGTCTGTTCTCCGTTCAATGTACCTTTTTCAAACTTTGTATCTCGCTTCTATGTCATTGTACTTGTCCTATTAGATTTTATCTCTTGTTTCAATGCCGCTGCATATACTGTATCCCATCTTATCGATTTATCGTGACTTGACATAGCACTGTGTTGCTGACTCTAGTTTCGTAGCCCTGAACTATAGGCCATGCCGCTTTGCTCTGTTACGCGAGACTGGTCATACCGTTTAATTAGAACCAACTTTTTGCAGTCTAAGACAACGTGCGTGTAGATGCTATTGTCGGTGCTGTAAACAATTACAAGTGCTGTCGTGACGATGTAAGGAAAATGGACCCTATGCCCATTTATCTTGGATTTTGGTGCTTGATGACCAACACAACCAAATTGGACTTATGAATTTGCAAGTGATTGTTTTGTAGTTCAATAGGGTGCAAGACGTGACTTGGACGAAGGCGACGTGATGATCCGATGATCAACACCATAACCAAGACCTTAGAAGCACAAGAGAAGACCTAAGATATCAAGCAAAGTCCAAGCACAAAGATAGGAATCAAGCCGGACGCAAGATCACGAAGAAACGAGCTCATAGAGGTGACCGAACGCTGGACCGGACGCTGGCGGAAAGTGACCAGACGCTCCGATCAAAAGGCTCGGCAACAACGGCGTCAGTAGCAACGACCGGACGATGAGTACTGAAATCGACCGGACGTAGGACTACAGCGTCCGATCGAGTACAAAAAGGTTCTAGAGCGGCGAAATTGCGACCAGGCGCGTCCGGTGGCATGTGACCGGACGCTGGCAGCGTCCGATCAGTTGATCGCGGCTCTAACGGTGGGGACGACCGGACGCGTCCGATCAGGACAACCTCAGCGTCCGGTCAGTAACAGAAAAATGGGATTTCGTCCCCAACGGCTACTTCTCAGTGGGGCTTATAAATAGACCCCTCCAACCGGCCATTTGAAGTGGGTGGAGCTAAGGGAACATATTAAGGGTGTTGATACACCATTTTAGTGATCTCCACTTGCATAGTGCTTAGTGATTCATTAGGTGATTAGCATAGGTGCTTTACAAAGTGCTTAGGTTGATTAGACCACCGCTTATGCGCTTGCTCTAGGTTTAGGCCTAGTGTTTAGTGAGGTTTGCATACCTCTTACCACTCGGTGCTTGCGCGTACCATTGTTATACATCGAAGGGGCTTGTAGTCTTGTGAGATCACACCAACCACGGTTGTGGTGTCACCGCCACCGTGTACCGGAGGGAATAAGGCCCGCGACGTTTCGGCCGAAAGCTTGATAGTGAAGACGGCGGGGAGCATCCAGGAGAGGCTTGCCAGAAGGCACGTCGAAGACCCACTTGCGCGTGGGGAAGTCCCGAAGCTATCCGCAGAGTTACCCGACTGGGAGCTTGGCCCTTGCGAGGGGCTCCAACAAGGACTAGGGGGAAGCTTGTGTGCTTCTCGATACCTCGGTAAAAATACCGGAGTCGTCAATGAGAGTTTGCATATCTCTACCTTGCTCTTTAGCTTCCGCATTTACATTGATTGTATTATTCCTTTTGCGGTAGAGATAGCAACACACTAGCAAAATCGTAGTTACACATTTAGATAATTTATCTTTTGTATAGGTTTTGCTAAGGTTAGAAAAAGAGGCCATTGTTTAGAGTTAGATTTTTAAGTTGCCTAATTCACCCCCCCTCTTAGGCGTTACGGTCCCCTACAAGTGGTATCAGAGTCAGGTTGGCTTAATTTGGACCTTTGGCTTAACCGCCATTGAGCCGACGCTATTTAGAGTGGTTGGGATGGATACCTCTAGGCCTCTGCACTTTGACGGCACTAACTTTCCCTATTATAAAGCTAGAATGGCTTGTCACCTTGAGACAGTTGATTTGGGTGTTTGGAGAGTC